AAGAATGAACTGAAAAGCTATACACATTATAAGGACTGTCTAGCCTGAAAGGAAACCTACAAATTCCTTACTGATAATAACCATAACTAAAAAGTTATGCCGAATCTCCTAGTGCATCCTCCATACCCTGTGTACACTACAAACAGTGCCGTTATTTTAAAATAAATAAAGCACAAGTCCTAACGCACGTTCCGGTGCTGCTAGAGCGCCTTGGTCAAAGGTGAATGCTGTACTGACCAGTATGGTTATTTGTACCTTGTGGTATAGTGTTGAAGACCAATCAGAGCCGGTGGGTGTTCGTATGAGAGTGCACCCAAATCAGAGGCAATCTGTGTTACTAGGGGTTCGTCCAACCCCTATTTTGCCTAGACCCGCCAACTGGGCGTTTCAGTGGGCGGACCTAATTCTCCGTATACGGAGTATAGGGTACAGGGGTACCTCCCCTGTACCTGGCGACCGTACCTGTTATGTATGTCCAGAGTGGCTGGCAATGTGCCTGCTTGTAATTTTTACACATCGGGATTATAACCCTATCCAAAACATGCAGACATAATCAGTATTAATTAAGTCCCCGACATAACAGACCGTCTATCACTGCACTTGCAAAAAATAGACAGGACTGTATGGGGTGATGCACACTGACTGAGAGTTTGCTGCATCAATAGCTTCACATTGCTAGTTGTAATGTTAGTGAGCATATCAACTGGATACAGTATCTATTCAGAAATCTAGTGACACAGACTCTGTTACATTATTCACTCCTTATTATATAGTCTTGGTGTTAGTTATTTTAACACAAGGATACAGTATCTATTCGAGATACACAGTGATATGCTTTCTGCATTGATAGCTCCACATTTATAATCATGACATCGGTGATTATATAGCTATTGAGTCACCAATATTCTACATAAGTATATAAATAACATAAGTCTATAGTAATTACTTTTGGGGCTTATGTCAAAATGCCTTTAGGTCCTATGTACCTCTCTATGTGAATAACAATGGGTCAGTTATGCTTGGTTCGTGTAATTAATAATATATAGTGTTTCCTAAGATAAATCATACGGAATAAATGCAAAACCAATATATATACATATTTACAAGTACAAAGCGTATACTTATTATGATGAATCAATGAATGGGGTGAATGTAAAGCCCTTATTTAATCCTTTGGGTGACATGGTGTCAAGTTTATGGATCCAGTAACACTCCCTTTTTTTGAGGGTCTGGTCCATATCACCATCCCTTCTACCCATTTGGATTTTTTCTATACCCGCAAATTTTATACATTTTGGTGTGTCCATATGATGGAGCCTGACGTGTCTAGCGACAGGAGTGTCTTTGTTGGGAGTCACTGAATAGACATGTCCATTATGCGTCTTTTAAAGGGGCGTATGGTCTTACCCACATATTTAATGCCACATTTACATGTCCGAAGATAGATCACACCTAAAGTATTGCGTTTTTTTTCAGGTCTCTCATTATTTTGATTTTACTTTATTTTTCTTGGGAACTTATGTCCTATAATAAAATGTGTTTTTAATTTTTATATATATTTGCAACACCCAGAGAACTCTTTTTCTGTGCTCCTTGGGCACTTCAGCCTGGGATCACTCATTCTCCTTATTGTTTTGTATCTAGCTCTATAGTTACCCCCTATATAGGGTTCTTTAGGACACACTGCGGATTCCGGGACATAGGAATTCTGCACCTTTTTCTTTTTTCTCAACTACATATTTGCCAGCATGCATTAAACATTATTTCTGATTGGTAGCTTTTTAAATATTAGATGCTTGATTAATTTCTGAAAATAATGTGTGTTACCATTTTTAAGTATATTTTTGCCTTTCTTAAAAAAAAAAAAAAGCATTTAATTGTGTGTGTATATAACATAATACTTTAATATATAAAAATATAATGCAACTAAATATTTTTAAATATATATATATATTTGCTTTTCAGGAACTGTCATTTTGAATAAACAAATTAAAGAGATTGTTGAAAGAACAATTTATATTTAATTTTTATTTTTCTTAACATGTCAAAACTCATGCTTATCACAAATGTTCTCACTCTGAACCAAATCCTGTATAAAAAAAGATTTCACGTAATCTTAAGAAAGATATGTTAGTGTATCAGCCATCACCAGCAAGCTTTAAAAAAACCTGCAGACAGTTTCAGTTGGTCTCTGATCGAGGAAGTGCACCTCTCGTACTTTTTACTCATCACTCATCAATAGCAAAGTAAAAATATGACTTCTCAAATTCTAAAGGAATTTAACCTAGAACCTTTTAGATTCTAATTTATGTTAGATTCACAAACAGGTCTTCTTCTAGAGACAACCACTATTATTCTGGGCACTCATAGTAATTTATTCTCTGATACCAGTTTAATTGTATTTTTTTTATTATTGCAAGTAAAATAGATGCATTTTTTGTCTTGTGCAAGTCTTATACATTCTCTGTTTATAATTCATGAAATGACATTTGGCTAATTTTCTATCCTGATGAACATTACTACCAACCTCATTACCACAATAATGTGACTGTTTGTTTATGTGGGAAATTGTTGAGTATAATACCATCATTTGTTTTATGTTAAAAGGCAAACCCAGTGTAACCCAGAAGCAAAACACAAAATGTAGGGTAAAAATCATTAAATCCAATGGGTTATTTCAGCTGAATGCTTAAAATGTAGGACTTTATACCAGAAAACACCTTTTCTTTTCTAATTATAATCTCTAAACAGCTTCCTACACATAGAAACACAGTTATTGTTTTGTAGCAGCATAGTGTTTATTCTAAGAATTTATCGTCAACTTAATTAACTTATTGCTTATGTTTTGTAACATAACCTCAACAGGAGAACTTAAAGGAGCACTATAGGAATACAAACATGTATTCCTGACCCTATAGTGTTAAACCCACCATGGCCCCAGGCTCCCTCTTGCCACCCTAAATATTGTAAAATCTTACTTGTATTCAAGTCTGCAGCTGCTAGCTCTGCCCCTGTCTGCCTCTGAACTGCCGATATCATCAGAAGGGGTGGACTGAGTCAATTACAATGCTTCCTCATAGGATTGGCTGAGACTGTCAAGGAGGCAGATCAGGGGCAGAGCCAGCACAAGTCAAACACAGCCCTGTCCAATCAGCATATCCTTATAGCGATGAATTGATTGAATGCATCTCTATGAGAAAAGTTCAGTGTCAGCATGCAGAGGGTGTAGACACTGAATGGCAGTGCTGTTTACTCTGCAGCACTGCCCAATGAAGCAGCTCTAGCAGCCATCTAAGGAGTGGCAGTGGAGTTATCACTAGGCTATAATGTAAACACTGCAATTTCTCTAAAAAGATCGTGTTTACAGCAAAAAGCCTGAAGGGAATGATTCTACATACCAGAACAAATACAAATAAGCTGTAGTTGTTCTGGTGACTGTAGTGTCCCTTTAATAACTGGAAAAAAAGTATATTGGTTGCAAAAAACAAACTAAATACAAACCACTGAATTAAATTAATGTTAATGTTAATCTGCCTTTCTCAAGTCATGGCGATATCAAGTTTTCCTGTAGTAGTTATGGTCTTAGGAGTGCCATGGTACCCCTTCATTGTAAGTCGGCAAACCATTCTAGAACAATTGCCTGCAGTCCATCTGTCATATATAACATGTATAATGATAAATATGCATCAAATTGGAATGATTTAAAAGGCTTTTGCAACTTATAGAAAAAAAACTTGACATATTATATTAGATAAACCAAGAGCAATATGCACTATGGGTGTAAGTGGTTTCAATGTCTGTATGTTTTTTTACCTGTATGTTGTTGGCATTGTCCTCATATCTGAGGGCTGCACATCTGTTTTACCAGAGGAGCACTCATACACATAGACACACAAAGTCTTACTCCCTTGTACACTTAGCTGCATACTCCCAAACACAAACACACTCAGCTACACAGTTCCATACACAGACAGCTACACAACCACATACTATCTCCTACCACTCCAAGCTGCTTCCCTGCCCTGCGTATATCAGTAAATCCCATCAATGAAGAACACAGCCTGATCAACCCCAGATCGTGGACCCGATGTGGACCAGGCAACCAACAAACATACCTAGGCACCGCCATCAGTGTGCAGTCAAGGAAAGAAAGACATGCTGGCCAGTAGGAGAACTCCATAAATCTGAGCTATCAGGTAGGTGATTTTGCTAGCCTACTGTTTTGACATGGACATAAAATGAAATACAACAAAATGAGTGTTCCCTGGTATGATAAGGACTCCAACTGTTCCTATTTCACCTGTGTTGAAAAATGGGTTGCTGCTTTATGGATTTACCTCTAATGTAACGTTATTGTGTCTGCCTAGAGATTGTGCACAGTGTTTCAACACTTGCACAGCACACAGTTTAAAAAAAAAAGGCTTTGCATACTGACTCTTTATCTTCAATGATGCTGTACCCGCCTGCAACGCCATGCCTCCAAACCCTCTCGATTCTGGCAGGACAGTCCCGATTTTCTGGTCATTTTTCACTGCCTCAACTTAGTTCCCTTGAAGCTTTATTCTAATGATCTTTAACGTTTTGGTCCCTCACCTACCTGTCAATCGATCCTCAGTATTAGACCTGGATTCCTGCAAAACATAGGTCTTAGCAGAGCATTGACTGACAAAGAAGAGGAAAAAACACTCTGCCGGGAAGAATAGTTACTGTGCTACTCCAAAAGCAAGAATTGCTCACGCCAATGATCTGACAGTAAAGACAGCAGTTTGGCCAGGCTTGCAAAATTACAGCAGACAGAGCGGCAGCAGAGATGGGGTATGACAACCATGGACCTCCAAGAAATATAGATACTGAAGCAAGGGAAAAAGATAAATAATATTATAATAGCTCCCAATATATACACACACACACAAACAATTTATCACTATCATTACATATTTACTGCCCTGGAAGCAATTATATGTTAAAATGATCCTCGATTGAAAGATTTACTTCCACTTTTTAAGTTATCCTTTAAACAGCTCCAATATTTGTATTAACTGTTTGGATGATATCTCTTGCACATAATAGTTTTTTGTGTATGCATATGCATCATCCATTTTTGAAGAGGTTGACATTTTTGTCAGTATGTCTCAGCCTTGCTCTAATTGTTATACATTTTCCTCCTCTTTCCCATAAACTACTGCTCCTTAATAATTTCCTAAAAACATATTCTTTGTCAGTATGAACATTTTTTTCTTTCTCCAGACACACCTCTGGACCCTGACCTGTCTCAGCAACCATCAATTTAGTTGTGCACCTATTAACCCACTCAATAACATTGTCCACCAGCTGTCTCTAATACTTTCAAATCAACATAGGTATAAAATGTTAATGCATATTTAATCATGCACTGCATTGAAAATTTTATGCCATAACCTTTGCAAACCAGAATACATTATTTACTTCTCCTAATATCTGTCACATGTAACAAGTGATGGGAAAGAAAATCCTCTCATGTGATGTGCAACAGATGCCTACATGCATGTGTGAGAAGACGTGTTGAGGTTCCCATGAATTAGCAGGAGCTTTCATAGACTTCCCATTGCCTATTCCAAAGCATGCGCAAGATGTCTGAAGCCACAAAATTGCAGTGTCAAAGAGGAAGTAGAATTGAATGGATTTTTCTGCCTTAAGTCCCCTCCCTTTAAAACATGTTGCCAAGATAGGTGTTGCAAAGACAGGTCCTCTAAACTGGATTTCTATGCCTCATATCGGTTGCTAGAATTGTTTCTTTTGTTATTGTTATTTTTCTGCATTTTATTTTCTATTCTATTGGTATTGAGTAAAATACATTGTTACTCTTAAGATTGTATTTGTTATTCTATAATGGATAAATACATAAGTAAAATGCTTACATGTGTTACACCAACATTACTTCATTATTCCTTTTTTTTTTTTAAAAAGGCACTCTTCAATTAAATAGAGACCCATAGCTTTTAAAATCATGTACTTTATCTATATGGAATTCTTCCCCCAATTAGTCACATCCTGTTTATATTTCAAGGCCAACCTGACCTTAATATGACTACAGAAGTATAAACAAATGTATACAACAATTCCTTGAGTTATCAGAATGTTTTGCATTTTCACAAACTAATTTGCAGAATAACCTGAATTCTTCCAGAGTAATAAATATAATTGTTTATTTTTTTATTATTATTCTTTATTTGTAGATATTTTACAAGACATTGAGAAGTGGTGCAAACTTTTTTCAGTGAGAGGTCGAACATACCAAAAATGCTGTATTTTGTTGAAATAAAATAAAAGAATATGAAAAAAAATTAATCATGTTCCGTTCATTTTCTTTAGTTGTCTAGTTAAATTGATCTCGGAATATTCAGGTGTAAATTGTTACAAAATAGGAATGGCCCAAATTGTGGGTGGACTTCACGGCATGGACAGGATCGTAATGGGATAGCATGGGAGGGCATAGTTTGGTTAATTCAAAATGCATCAGTGATTACTGATATGGTCCAAGAAGAGTGAAATGATAGTATGGCTTGCATGTGCACCAGGCTGACTGTTTCCTTGATGGCTATTCCTTCCGGGCTGTACTTAACAAAAGTCTGAGTTGCCATAGTAGAGAATAGGCAAGGGCTTACACATAGCGAAGGCCTGAGTTGCCATAGTAGAAAATAGCATTAAACTCGTTTGTGTTGTGATTGCTGAAGACAGGATCTTGATTGGTCCTCTAAACAAAAATCCGATCAGGATTGGCCATCTAAACAAAATGGTTCAGAGGTATAAGTTCCTAAGCATTAATTTAGCTAAATTAATTTCCGGAGAAAAAATATAAACAAATCGCAAAACAAAGAGCTAGATTTGATCAAATATTTTATGCCATAGAAAAAAAAGCAAGATAAAGTTGCTATAATCAAAAGTTACATAAACACACTGAGTTGGTTATAATCCTTTTTTAATGTCTTATATAGATAAAAATTACAAAAATAATAATAATATACACACATTTAACCCCTTAACAGCCCTTAGGACATTCCATGCCGTTCTCAGAACTATGCGCTTTAAAGTCCCATAGGCTGGCTTTACTGTCCTCTAGTATAGGCACAAGTATACTAAGTATTTAAAAAAAGCCCTATCTATACTTTAAAAAAATCTGTATAGGGGCGGAGCTAGCCACGGAACGAAGCAGGCACACATGTTGGGAGCTCCCAAAAGAGATAATTAAAACAACCAGCCTACCTAAACTAAAAGTGTTCCATTCCAAAAGTGTTCCATTCTTATCCAAAAGCGGCCCTAATAGCATGGGAAAGAAAACCAAGCTCCGTAGGAGCAATACAACCTCATCATCCAAATATATTGGGGCTTTGCTCCGAGTCACACCACTGCAGTTTTCCTTCCAAAATGGTGCCCGCGCAGGAAGACTCTGACCTCGCCTCAGAGGAAAGCAACCGGGACGAACCTCAGTATACTGCCAAGCAGGGAGACACTAACAAAACCCCGCCACCCGCAGACTGGAGACAAACGTCCAGGAGAGCAATACCTGAAACTCACCCAGACCTTACACCTGCCAGCAAAGCTTACATACAAAATATGCTGGCCGAGATTAAGGCCTTCTTCACAGCTGATACTGCGCTGTGGAGAAAGGATATGGGGGTCATGACAGCCCGGTTGAGGATGCTGGAAGAGGCTGGTGACACCACCAGAGGCAAACAAGATGACCTGAAAGCTGAGGTGGGCAAGCTGAAGCAGGCCAACCTCACTATGGAGAGCAGACTAGCTGTCTTAGAGGACTCCAAGCGGCAACAAAACCTGCGAGTCCGAGGTGTCCCTGAAGACGCTGCTGAAGCTGAGATACCACACTACTTTCGTAGGCTGATTAGTTCTATGCTCCCACAACCCAAGGCCAAAGCCATACACCTGGCATACAACTAACGAGTGCCAAAATCACCCAACGCCCCGGCCGGGGTCGCGAGGGACTTATTGCTTCATTTCCAATCCCTACAGAGCAAGTGACTTATACAGGCCTCAACTATGAATATACATGCCTATCACTTTTAGGTCTCAGACCTCCAGGTCTACTATGCTGTGGAAAAATCCCTGCAACCTGTAACTAAGCTGCTGAGAGAAAGAGGAGTCCGGTATCAATGGAGACCAGGCCAGAGGTTGACGATACTGTATGGTGAGAAGTCTCCATGAGAAATGCATCACGCATTATTGGTGCCATTTTACCTGAGGCAGCGATGAGCAACAGGAGCGCAACTTCCTGCCGGCACATGACCCTCCACGGGAGTGGTGGTGAACATCTTTAAGTGCCATATGCCGTTAATTATCATTCTGTTAATTTTGCTTCGTATATGCACCATATAATATCTCTGCTAATGGGTATGGCTTTGTTTCCTTGCGATTGCTTACCTTGGGCAATCTCCACATGTCTATCACTAGTATGGCTTTAAGAAAAAGCCCGGTCTCACTGATCTCACAAGACCTTCAGTTTGAACTCACATTTAATGGTCACTGTACCAGATACAACAGGCGTCAAAAACCGCATAAGTGGAATCGGTGTACTCTGGTTACAATCACAAAGCGATTTATTGTAACTGGATTCCAATAGGTTTTTTTAAAAGCACAGTAGCAAACACAAATTTAAAGGGTTAAATAGATGGAAATCTAAAACATCTAATCCGTGAGTGTGCATAGAAATCGTCCTCAATTTGTTAGCTAGCAGATAAGCAAAAAAGGTCAGGTAGCCAGATGTTATGTTGAACAATAGGCATGGAAGAATACAGACACAGAACATAAATGTTACAGAATACAGAGCAAAGATGGATCAAGGTCATACTTAGGTTCAATACAGTAATAGATGTACAGGCAATGTTAAAGAGTGTCCACGGAGATATACACCTTGCCTGGAGGTGAAAGACTGTCAGAGTTGTAACAGAAGGAACTCAGTATGCAGAAATTAGCTTAAGGAATAATGAGCCAAATCAAGAAACCAGCAAGGACAAGGCAAGGATGTAGTCAAAAACACAGTAAAATGGTCAGTTCAGGCAGCAAAGGTCCTTAAGCGAATAGGACAAGGCATCGGTCAAATACTAAACAGACGATGTTGGAGCACTCGACTTGACTGCTTGTTCACAGAACAGAGTACATTTGAGCAAAGAAGTACTGTGATTGTGCTTTATATAGGGGACAAACCCCCTTCATCTCATCCCTGCCACTCCCTTTCTCCATAAAATGTGCCAAGTTCTCCTTGAAGGCGAGACGGGAGAGCCCTGCCATCCATCAGACGGCATGGAGGGAACCACCCGAGCCTGCTCGTGTGCTCTGTCATCCATTAAGCGACTGGCACAAGTGTGAGGAGATCTAACATCTGCGAGGATGCAGCAGCGAATAGCAGAGGAGACATGGCACCAGAGAACACAGCAAGTCAGGGCCGGTGGGAGGTGAGACCCTAAAAGGCATGCAAACATAGTGAATGAAATGTTCCATGGGGTTTTGTAGGGCCTGTGCAGAGTTGAGTGTTGTGTTTCCTATGCAACAAAGGCATACTCTGCCAGGCATTACTACAAAACATTGGGATTACTTGCATCATGTACACAGGTGCTGTGCAGCATACAGAGTATTTCACTTCCATGTCCAGGATGTCGTGGTAAGAGAAACGTTGAGGATCCAAGGTGCCAGACGACATTAAGCAGCTGAAGAGTCTTCAAACTAGCTTGCTAAATCTACTTAGATAACCAATAAAATAATCACCTTTAATCTACTTTATAATTTTATAATTCAACATAATTGACTGTTGGGTTGATGCATACGTTAATTTGATAGTGAAAGGGATTCCCCATATTTAGTTTTTCTGCATTTACTATCTGCCATGAAAAGATAACATATTTATTACTATCATTCTAGGTGAAACACTGAAACAAATCCCATGGAATTCTAACTCTGTGCATTTCTCCAGAACCCTCTAGGTACATACCTAGCCTTCATACATTGTATTATATATAGAGACAGCATATTTAACAGTGAACCGTGTATTATGAGAAATGAATGCCAACAAGGTGTTTTGGAGATATCATAATAACACAAGTGACAAACAGAGTTGGTTTAAAATACCCACAGAACTTTGAGATGGTATTATATTGCCATAAAACAAACTTCACAGTTAAAGAACAACTGTCACCTCAAAACATTTTTAAATATAATATTCCTTTGATCAAGTTGTGAAAGGAAACATTATTTTAAAATAGAGAATATGAAAAAGAACAAAAACAAACTGAGAAAACACATCCTTACCTTTAGTAGGCATCCCGAGGAAGGCCACAAAGATCTGTCATGTGTCAGGTTTCAAACACTGTCTGACCTTCAGCCATATACACTGATCAGCCACAACATTAAAATCATCTGCCTATTTTCATGTAGGTCCCTGTCGCGGTGCCAAAGCAGCTCTGATGCATCGAGGCATGGACTCCACAAGACCTCTTTATGTGTCCTGTAGTATGTGGCACCAAGACATTATCCTGCTGCAAGAGGCCATCAGGTAACACCATAGCCATGAAGGGGCGTACATGGTGTGCAACAATCTCTAGGTTGGTGGTTAGTGTCAAAATAATTTCCATTTGAATGGCAGGACCCAAAGTATCCCAGCAGAACATAGGCCAGCGGAGGCTGGACAGTCTTCTTCCCATAGTACATCTCTTCCCCAGGTAAACAATACACATGCACCCGGCAGTCTACCTAATGATAAACGTGATTCATCAGACCAGTCAACCTTTTTTCATTGCCCCATTGTCCAGTTCGGACACTTGTGTCCCCACTGAATGGCAAGGGTCATCATGGACACTCTGACTAGTTTGCTGCTACGCCTTCCTATCATGGTAAGAATTAAGTTTTTCTGCAATTTAAGCTACAGTAGCAATTCTGTGTGATCGGCCTAGACATGCTAGTCTTTGCACCCCACGTGTCATGACCCTGACATCGGTTCACATTACACACTATTAGGTATAGTGAATAAATTAACCATTTTGAAACCCATTGTGGGCCTCATAAATACATTTAAACAGTCTGTCACTCAAATTATTAAAGGGACACTATAGTGATCAAAACAACTTTAGCTTAATTAAGCAGTTTGGGTGTATAGATCATGCCCCATGCAGTCTCACTGTTCAATTTGCAGCCATTTAGGAGTTAAATCACTTTGTTTATGCAGCCTTAGACGCACCTCCCTGTTTGTGACTTACAAAAAAACGTTTAAAGTAAGTTATACTATGGATACACCGAAATTTCGGCCAAAAATGGGCCTATCCAAAAAAGCCCCCCCCCACAATCGCCCTGGCCTTGCCAGCCTCTTGTCGAGGGGGGGGGCAAGAACTGGCCAGCTAGCCACCTCAGGGCCCCCTAGGCTGGCATGCGCTGATGTTGGTTCAGCGTGGAGGCGGCGTGGGAGCACTTCCCCCTGTTCAGTTCCCTCGCACGCACCATAGTGATGCCGGGGCCAGAATATGATGTCACTCCGGCTCCGGCATCACTAAGAGGCGCACGAGGAAGCTGAGCAGGGAGATCAGAACTCCCTCGCTGCCTCCACTATGAGCCTGCCCGCCTGCGTGCCTGCCAGCCCAGCCAGCAGCAGCCCCACTGGACACCAGGGAAAAATCCACTCCAGCCCTCCCAAAGGTAGGGAGGCTGGGTGGATTGAACTTTTAAAAAATATATATTTTTTTTAAATTGTGAGTGTGTTAATGTGTGAATGTTAGTGAGTATTAGTGTTTGTGTCTGTTAGTGAATGTGTTTGTGTGTGTGTGTGTGTGTGTGTGTGTATGTCTTTTAGTAAGTGTTAGTGTGTGTCTGTTAGGTAGTGTGTGTCTGTTAGTGAGTGTGTTAGTGTGTCTGTTAGTGAGAGTGTTAATGCGTTTGTTAGTGAGTATGTTAGTGTGTTCTATTAGTGAGTGTGTGTCTGTTAATAAGTGACATAGTGTGTGTTTGTTAGTTAGTGTGTCTGTTAGTGGGCATTAGTGTGTGTCTGCTGGTGAATTTTAGTGTTTGTGACTGTTAGTGTTAGTGAGTGTGTGTCTGTCACTCAGAGTGTATGTGTTTGTTAGTGAGTGTGTATCTGTCACTGAAAATTGTGTGTCTGTCAGTGTGTGTTTGCATGCGTCAGTATATGTATGCCTGTTTCAGCTTGTGTATCCATTTCCATCAGTGTGTGTCAATAAATGCATCACCAACACTGTATAGACTGATTAAAAAAATTGCAGTTTATGCGCTACTGACTTCTAACTTATTTTAACATATAATAAGTATGCTGTTGGCCAGCTTTAGCTTTTCAGACAGTATCATTTCAACTCTTGTATTTCCTTTGCCTGCAGAATGTATTCATAAAATATTGCTTACTTGAAGCTGACTTTCATCTTCATCCACCTATTTACATTTGATGGGGCAAATTTACATAGCAATATTCTGTAAAATTGCCTATTTTTTTTTTATAATTCTGAAATAATTTTGAGGATTTCGTTTTATGGGGTGCGGGATACAGAAAAAGAGATGAGGGGGTATGGTAATCGGTACAGTTATCGTATATCATATCTATACTGTTTGTGGTTCACATACATTGCACCAAGGTGTGCAGACGATTCGATGGTGAAGGCAGTGTGTGTTGCCTTGCTAACATACAATAACTTTTACGTTCATAACAGTCTTTCATATTTGTTTGGTCTTAGGGTTAGGGTGGGGGTACAAAAAGGAAGAGGGAGGGAGTTAGGGTGATCTAACGTGAGCATTAATCATCAGGAGTTTTTTTCCGTTTAGTGTCATCACATATATGAGTGAGTTTAATGTTGTGGCTTTGTGACTATTGTTTGTTTTCTAGTTGTTCCCTGTGGGATGTTCCTCATGGTGTTCCGTGCGGTATGTTATGCTTGTGGTTTGTCATCTGACAG